CTGTAAAAATGATGTGAAGAAAAGTTGACATCAATGTGAAAAGGTCTTCCCTCAGTGTGAATTTGCTATGATAGGGAATGATGCAATGATTTGTCCCCATGGGAAAAAAATTGAATTGAACAAGGAAATAAAAGTGTCAGCAATGAATAAATTTGAGGGACCTTCAGCTGACCTTGCTTATGGTGGTTTATAGGGAAACTTACTGGCTCAGAGTCCTCTCTTCCATTGAAGGACATAGGATAAGATGATCCTTCTCTTGGCAAATACCTTTTCAAACTGGCTCTAGTCTTGGCCTGGGGCTGCTTGCTTAGGGAAACAGGATCTGTCTGGAAATGTCTGTGTGGCACCGAGTGGGATGAAACCTGAGGAGTTGAAGCCCCCTAGGTAGGACAAAGGTTCGTGGTGTGTGGAGAAGCAGTATGGCACCTGCTGTGCCTGCTTGGGTCTGTGGAGGCAGAAAGTGCCAGGGGGTTGGGTGGGAGACTGGTATCCTGTCCACAAGCAGTTACCAGCTCACTGGTGGCAGCAGCCTTAGGCCTTATGTGGCCAGAAAGTCTCTCCAGCAGCTCAGGAGCCCACTGACTGTCAGAGGTCCAAGGGAGGGAGAAACAAACCACTCAACCTACCCTTCTTGCTGGACTCCAAGTCTCTTGGGTGTTGACTTTTGCTGATACCTTGCTCCTTTTAGTTCTGCACTGCAAATTCTTCTTCCTGTGGAGTCTCCTGAAGGCTCTGGCATCCTTCCTTCAGACCCACATCTATGCTATGTTTTCTTATCTGTTCATTTTTTTTCTCATTAATCTAAAACTTCTCCTTCTTGATGAGATGTTCTGGCAGCTGGTGTCTCTGGTCAGCCATCTTGCCAGAAGTCTCCTCTTTATAATATTGATGTCACAAATTACATCTTTATATATTATGTACCTATTAACATATACATCATTATTTTTGTGCTTTGACCTTTACATCCTATAAAAGAATAAAAACTGGAGCTAAAAACCAAAATTGCGATAAGACAAGGTTTATTTTATTTCTACTGTCTGATTTCTAGTCACTGTCTAGCAAGAAACAAAGAGAAGAATCCATCACTTCCACTCCATGAGAGTATCATAATAATCACAGAAGCTACACACTCCCTGCTTCCTTCCTAAAAAATATTTGAAAAATCTTGGCTTTTGTTGTTGCTGAATTACCTTCACCAGTTGTGGTTTTATTGATTAAAGTCTCCTAGATAATTTGATGAGTATGAACATATTATGTTTCAGACAGCATCTACAGGCCTTTTTTCTTTGGCAAATATAATTTGTGGGCATGCAAGTATCTGCCTTTCAGATTCTATTTTGATGTACATATTCTGAGAGAGTTGAACTGTCAAAGAAATCTTGACATTTAGCGGCAGCCACAAGAGGAGACCCTAATAGTGTGTTCCTGGGCTAAACTGAATTCATATCCTCAACCTGACTAAAGTAGTCTGAACTTCCTAAGGTTCATATGCCCAGTTGAGGGCATTGTTTAACATTTAACAGCATTTTATCTGCTATAGAGAAACATCAGATATGTGCCATCATTGGTTGTTTTATTTGAATTGCAACATAGTCTGGCAGGCTGCTGATCACAGCTAACCGTGCCTGCATTTTATCTCTCTTCAAGGTCTGAAACCTGCGAAATTTTCAACTTTGCTCCTGGACACTGAAAACATGTAGTTCTAAGGGTGAGAGGAGTAATCTGAGAGTGAAAGGGTGTTGCCTATGGTCAAGTGAGTGAATGACAGATTTGCAGTGGGGGCCCAGGAGTCTAAACTCCTGTGAAGACTTCACTCCAACAATACTGTTCCAGTTCTCTTTTCATTTTCTCCTAACCTCACTTCTGGTCTGATCTGGCTATTCTCATCTTTCATTCTTAGTCTGCCTTCTACAACAAACCCTTCTATAGGTCACGTTGTGGCTCAGAGACCCTCTGTGACCCTTGACTCCATGCTTTCAATGAAGGCTTACTCTCCATTTACAAAGCTGTTCTGGGAGAAGCTAATCAGGCCTGGGCCTTGTCCATTTGGCATCACTTTCTTCTGACATCCTTTGTCCACCTCTGATGGTGACCCCTGCTTTAAAAGAGCTTGTGCAGAAGGTCAAGTTACACCCTCAGCTGACCTTGTAGAGCTCAATCTAGCTGCCACCTGCTCCTTCCAGCTTTGTCAGTCATCCTTCTGGACATGTCCCTCTGTTCCAAACCAGAAATCCTGCATATTTTTTCCCTGCAGGGACTTTGATCTCCTCCCAGAGTATGCTGGACTCCAAATAGAGAGCAACAGGCACTTACAGTGAGTTGCAGAAGACTCTGGAGAAGGCTTTTCAACAGTGCGATGAAGGCACTATCACAACTAGCAGGTCAGGAGGGAAAGGCTATGTTCTAGGAAGACCCTCATTGCTATGCAGTTGGATAAGCTCAGATTCCTAAGCTCTTTGTCCAGGCCTGGTGTCCAGTGGTGGAGAAATAAAAACAGTCTTACTGCTGTCAAGATTTCTAAACTCTTATCTGTAATTTCATTCCCCTGAGAGCATTGAGGGCATATACTCCAGGCAAAAAGGAAGAAGAAAATTAACATTTAATTATGCATCTATTGCAGCACATGCTTGTGGTGCCCTACAGACATCCCTGAGAGGGTTTCCAGGCTCAGGCCTTCCCATGCCTCAGTGACTGAGGACACTCTCTGCCCACTGGCAAGCGCTTGACTCACTGAGGGACAGGCAGAAAGAGCCACATAGTTAATGCCCAAGGGAGCAATCCTTCACAAATAAAGAGTGAAAATTGGTGGGAAAGCAGCCAAGCTTCCTTGCCCTTCAACCCAATTCCAAGGCATATTCCACATAGTCAATGACAAGATCCCCAGTGGGAGGGCTCCAGCTGCCTGCAGCAGTGACCTGCTCATTAACATACACTTTCCTACCTTCCTTGAGTCACAGCCCCATCCTCTCAAAATGCTTCCTGGAATTCACTCCCAAATAACAATATAGATATCCAAATCTTAATCGCAGGGTCTGCTGTTGGGAAAAAATCAAAACCAAGAGCCCCATTATGTAGCAGGGATTTTACATTCACTGTCAGTTAATTTTCACACAAACCATGAAGTATGCAGCAAACCCTTTGTCATATGAGGATGCTGAGGTTCAAAGAGGTTAAACAGATTCATTAGAATCACATATCAAATAAGATTAGAGCCAGGATTTGAGATCATGTCTGTATGGCTCTTAATTAAACCTGTCTGATTTCTGCCGTTTCAGGTTGCTTCAGATAAAACCCAGGTTTGGGGCTCAGCACACCTACCCTCTGGGGCAAGTCTTCCTTCTCATTGATATGTGACCTTGGGCAGACCCCTTGCTTGCTTTTTGTCTAAATGTCATTTGCATCCCATCTTGGGATTTTTGCACAAGCTATTCATTTAGCCTAGAATGTTCTCCCTCCAGTTCCTCTGTGTGTTTAGTGTCCCAAGGTTACCTTCAGGTTCAAGGTTACTGTAAAAGGACTTAGAAAATTCAGGAAAGCTGGTTATGGCTTATTAAAGCAAAAGGATAGACATCAAAATCAGCAAAGGTAAAAGGCACATAGAATATAAGCTTCCCGTTTTCCCTGTAATACTGGAGTTTTATGACAGCACTTAATTCCCCAGGGAATAATGTGTGAGAACATGTACATGTGTTGCCAACCAGGAAAGCTCAGCTGAACCTTGACATCCAGGGTTCTTAGTGGGGGTCAGTCATGTAGGCATGGGGCACACCAGTGACTGACCTTCATTATTCAGTTTCCTGCCCCTACAGGGGTTATAGTTATAAAGTGTGACCCAAGACATCACCCTAAATCACATTGCTACCAAAAAACTATCTGGCCTGGTCCACACCTGCCAGATCTACAGATACTTTTATCAGGAAGGATGTTCCCAGGGCTTAAAGATTGTATTCCTGGAGGTGGTCACGGGCAAGTTCTTTTTCAGGAATGCGCAGAGTTTGAACAGGCCACAACTGCTGCATTAATCCTTTGTTGCACACTCTCCTAGCTCCTTCTTGTCATTCAAGAGTCAGTACAAACATGGCCTCCTCAGAAAGGCTATTCCCGACCAACCTGCTTGAACTACTCTCTATTACTTTCAGTCACTTTGCCTGGACTTAGTTTCATCATTGCTCTTCTGACCTCAGTATATTTTCTAGTTTGTTTATTATATACTTCACCCTCCAAAATGTAATCTCTTGGAGAGTAGAAATGGTTGACTGTATTTTATCTTAAATGCCAAAACAGAGAATTCAAAGAACAAGCACTTCTTTAAAAAAAAATAAAGTTCATGACCACTTTTTTATTTCAATTTACGGGGTACAAATGTTTATACATATTGCCTATACCTCACCTGAGTCAGAGCGTAAGCACTTTTTGATGAAGGAATCTGGACCATGAACAGAGTTCAAATTTTTAAAGTTAATTTATGTTTTTTACTAGATTTTGAGTTCTTGAAAGCAAAGATGAGTTTTCTGATGATTATTCTACCTGAAAGTTCTCAAGGCAGGGTTGAGTAAGAGCAGGTACTTGAGAGAAGCTTGTTGAGTGCATGGCATCTTCCTTTCTCTAATGCTCCACCTGTCTCATGCTCTCCAGGGTATTTCCGTCCCCTGCCTTCCCTCTTTTACTCTTGTTTTGCTTCTGTGACTAGTGAAATATACTGTTTTCCTAATCTGCGGTTGCCCGTGTTTTTTTTTTTTTCTATTTCTTTTCCACAAGCTGCCTCTTCCTGAGATGAGAAGCAAGTCTCTCCCATAACATCTATGGCTCTCTGATGACTTAACTCTACCAGGAAGTTCATATAAAACTTTATAGCAAATGCCCGTCTGGAGTGGCTACACATCAAATGCTCAATAGCTAGTGGCCAGTGTTTGCATAGTGCAGGGCTACATTTACCTGGGCAAGAAAAAGAAATCTGAATGAGAGTCTAGAATAGGCTCAGGAAAGGACATCCCATGATCAAGGATTCAAAAGGCCATGGACTTTATTTCAACAGGTTTTTTGGCAACAAGTGAAGGTGAGTAGAGGACACAGACTTGTTTGTGGATTTTTGTACACAAAAAATTGCCAATATTTCCCGAAAGGCCATCTTTATAAATACAGCCATAGGGTCTGAGGCAACTCTGGAGTCCAATGACCTGGGTCTGAATCACACTCCAAATGGATCAGCTCTGGGACATGGGGCAGTAACTTCATCCCTCTGGGATTTAGTTTCCTCTTCTGTAAAATAAAGATACCGATAATATGTACCTCATAGAATCATTTGGGAATTCAATAAATCAAATGCAGAAGACAATCTGAATGGTGCCTACTCTGTATGACATGCTGGCCAAGACGTGTTTTGTTGCTGCTGAATTATTCCTGAATTCCGAGGAAGGGTTACTGGAATGGCTTTCCACATAGGAAGGTTAGATCAGCTATGGGCCTGGTGGCTCTGTGCCCAAATGCTCCAAACTTTTCACCTTCTATTAGGCTAGCCTCCTATAGGAATGACAGGTAATAAATTAGCAGAAAAGTAATCCATTTCTTGCAGAGACATCAGACCTGAGGGAAGCTGAGTTGCCCATTCTTTCAGAGAGAAGAGAGGAAGTGCCCTTGCAGGAGAACTGGCCATGCTGGGGATCAGCTACTCTCAGAGGCAATAGAGCCTGTGAAAGGAGACTGGAGCCACCTGGAGTATCATGCGTATGTCCCAAAGCATTCTAAGTCTTTGATTAATTCCATCAATAACTGTTGAACCCCTGTGTGCCAGGCACTGTCTCTGTGTTAAGGATATGGAGGTAACCTAGACAGTTTGGGGTTCCTGCCCTTGATGGGTTCACTTCATATTGAGGAGAGAAACATACTCTTCTCCATTAGAAAATGCTCCACTCCTCAAAATGCAGAAAACCACCTCCTTTGAAGACCACTGCCCACATAACAAGGCTCAGATCATCTCTCTCAAATCCTTGGTGCTGTGTGCACCTGTAGCGACCTCTGCCCCATCATCGGTGGCTATGGTGGTTGGGGTCCACCTGGACATCTGGGATGCTGTTCTCTTCCTATCTCCTTTCACACTCATTTTTCCCTGACCTGCAGTCTTCCCTGAGTGAGGGGCCCTTTTTTTGTTCAAGAATATGTCTACCTTGCTGTCTACTGTAGGACCCCTTCAGGTGCATAGGAAGCAGCAGGAATGATACTGTTGGGTGCAGCCATTAGCTCAATCTTGTCCACCCTCTGTCCTTCCTTTAGGAGCCCTCTTGCCGACAGAACCACAGTTGACCAGCCTGCACATGCAGAGATGGGGGCTGAAGCACAGCCAAGTGCTTTCACTGGATTAATAATTGAGGAAGATGGTGGGTTTTTGAGAGTCAGAGGGAAAGGACACACAGGGGCCCAGCCATCTCACCAGCTCAACTCCAATAGCTTTTTTGAATGCCCACTGTGTGTGAAGCACTCTATTGGGGGCTGGGGACATAGTTGTGAAAATACCAGACTGTTCCCCAACAGTGCCCTGGAGAAGCTCACCATCTGCTAAGGGTCACAGATGTGGAAACCCACGATGACGGTAAAGAGTAGAGTGGACAATAGCAAAACTGCATGACGGGGATAGGAGTTGTCCAGAGGAGGATGTGGTGACAGCTGTGTGCGGTGGTTAGGGAGGGAAGACTCTAAGAGACGGCTATGTTTTCCTGGGTTTGAAGGATGAGTCTTCCAGGGAACTCAGGGGCAGTGTAGGCAGAGGAAATTGCATGGGTCAAGATCTGTAGGTGAAGCTCCTTTGGATGCATTCCTCATATTTCAAAATGAGGGAAGCCCTGCAAGCAAGGGCAGATTAGAGGAGATTTAATGTCAATGGCTTTACTTGAGTTTATAATATGAACCCATAACCTTTGGAGTTAGTGATAACACTGATTGAGTTTCTATGAGTTCCTGCAGAATATGAACACTAGTAAGGTCAACGTGGTTGTGTCTATGAGTCTTTGCCAACTGTCAAGGTGGAGAGGGCTCCTCTGACTCAGGTGGAGCACAGGTGGCCCTGCTATTGGCTGCAGCTCTAGCGCTGCCTCCTTTCCCAGCACATAAACATTCAGCCAGCCCCACTGAATCACCTCCGTGCTGGGAAGGGAAGCTCCACAGGCATAGCCCACCAAAGAGAAGCACACAGCTCAGAGAACAATTCAGAAGAGAGAACTGAAGAAGGAAAGTGGAGATGGACTTCATCCTAGACTTTGCCCTGGAAACCTGGGTTCTCTTGGCTTCCAGCCTCATGCTGCTCTATCTGTGAGTATCTGTCCAAGTCCCACTGTTATGTAACTGTGGACGTTGGGTACAATCTGCCCCTCTTTCTCTTATCTGTTGTGGTGATCAAAGGAGATAATTGCAGGGAAGTTGCTTTAATGTTCAAAGCTACAAAAGCATATGGCTGAAAGAATCAAGATGGCGGACAAGAAACACCGCCAGACAGAGTGTCTCTGCAGAAAAGACAGATTCTAGCAAAAATTAGAAGAAGCAAGAAGATGAGCCTACATCAGACGAGGCTCAGAAGGAGGATTACCTGAGACCACGGGAGACTCCACAGGAGGAGGTCTCGGAGGAGAACTGGAAGTTGAGACCGCCGGAGCAGCCTGGAGACCAGCGGGAAGGGTAGGTTAATTGGCCGTTACCCCTCCCCTGCATCTCAGACTGCTGGTGGGCTTCCCAGTGGGTGGAGAGACCTGCAGACATCAACCTAGAGACGGCCACCGCCAGTAAGTGGTAAGCCAGTAGCAGACGCGGCACCAGTCTCCCAAATCCCTTGGGGCACCTCCATGTGCACAGACCCCAGCCGTGCGGCAGGCGCCATATTGCCTCCTTCTTCCCTCCCCGACCCTACCCTCAGCTGCCCAGAGAGACAATATAGCCACTAGCCGGAGGCACCTACAAGGAACGGGACCTTCCCTTTTGGGGCCCTACAGCTGACTAAGGGGAACTCAGACTGTGAGCTCTCTACCTGCCAGCCCTCCCAAGTGCTGCTGGCATGATGATCCCAGGAGGACAGGGCAGACCCCGAGGCTGAGAGACATAGACCCAGCTTGGGCTCCCTGGGGGTGAATTGGGACTGGCACTCCTCTCCCTGGTGGGGATATAGTTTGAACTCTGGGGCGCAGAGGTCAGACCTGCAGACTACATCCCGTGCACTGAGGTCTGGCATGCTCGGGGCACAGAAGGGATATACGTGAACAGCCTACTGAGGTGTGTGTGCCTTTGGCAGCAAATCAGCATCCTAGGGGGCAACCCACCTCCCAAAAGGAGGCCATGTGCACAGCCCAGGTGGCGTTCTTGCGCAGGGAACCTCCTGGCTGGCATCACAGTCCGGGGAGGCCTAGTGGCGTGTGGTCTGGCCTGCTGGCAGAGGCCCAGGAGTAGCTGCGGAGTTGGGGATGGTGGAAAGAAGTGAGGCCCACTACAAACTGTGGGTCTCAGACAGCCCCACCCCCACACACAGACTCTCTGACTGAGCGGAGCCATTCCAGCCCCTCTCTGACATCTTTGCCTGGAAGCACATAACAGAACTTTGATCCCTGCTAACGACATTGGTGGTGCCTGAGGGCAGGCTTACCCAACCCAGCTCCATTCAGACTCACTCCCAGACCAGCCCTCACTGAGGGGGAGAAAAGGACACACCTGGAAGTCCCAGGGCCACGCCCACCACCTGAGGCACTAGAGTGCCTCTCTACAGGAACAAGAGCTGATAACAGGACACAAAAACAACTGCGTAGCCTGTTCCTCGAAGCAAGCGCCACCTACTGACAGGGAGGGCATCCTGCACACCTTTTCACAGCACCTACTAACTCATTATACAGGGAGTGGTCGAATCTCACCCACAGACACCACCTACCGGCTCAGAAACTAAACAAGGTGTGAGAATACCCAAACGAAAACATAAAGGAAAGAAACAACAAATGATCGACATGGGAAGAAATCAGCGAAGGAACTCTGGAAATATGAAGAACCAAATGGAAAACACACCCCCAAAGAGGAACACCAGCCCCCTAGAAACAGACACCAACCAAAATCAGGCAACCAAAATGACAGAAGAGGAATTTCGAATGTGGATCATCAGAAAATTCAACGACCTGCAAGAACAACTAATTAACCAACACAATGAAACCACAAAAAGCCTCCAGGATCTGGAACAAAAGTTCACTAAAGAAATCGACACAATGAAGAAAAGTTTAATTGAACTCCTGGAAGTGAAGAATCAATTCAAGGAACTACAAAATACAGTGGAAAGTCTCAAGAACAGGGTAGATCAAACAGAAGAAAGAATCTCAGAGCTTGAAGATAACACCCTCCAATTAAATAAATCAGTCACAGAGATAGAGCAGAGAAACAAGAGAAAAGAGCAAAGCCTACAAGAGATGTGGGATTATGTGAAGAAACCTAATGTGAAGGTCATAGGGTTACCAGAAGGGGAAGAAGACAACACTCAAGGGTTGGACAAGCAATTTGAAGATATAATAGAGGGAAATTTCCCAGGCCTGTCTCAAAATCTTGATATACAAGTTCAAGAAGCTCAGAGGACCCCTGGGAGATTCAATGCAAACAGGAAGACATCACGACATGCAGTCATCAGACTGATGAAAATATCAACTAAAGAGGCCCTTCTAAGAGGTGTAAGATGAAAGAAGCAAGTAACATACAAGGGAAAGCCAATTCGAATAACGCCAGACTTCTCTAATGAGACTTTACAAGCAAGGAGACTGGGGCCCCATTCTCACTCTTCTGAAACAAAACAATGCCCAGCCTAGAATATTATTCCCTGCCAAA